GGGGGGGTGGAGATGCTTCCAGCCCACCTCAATCGGGCCACGGTAATTCTTCCCCACAACTTTACTAGGAAGTCCTTGCTCCTGGACAGTAAATACGCTTGGAGTCATGAAGTATATCTTAGCTGCACAACAGGTCTATTTCCTTTCGAATCCTTAGATGAAATGAGGAAGCAAGAAGGCGCTCTCACCGTTCAGGCACTGCTAGAGCTTCATCCACTGAGGGGACCCAAATGCTTAGACCCCAAGCTGACCAAGGAGAGTACTAGAGAGGCAAACCAATTTACCAAATGTTCATCACCAGGCTTGGAGCCCTCTCCCCCGCCCCCCAATACCCCAACGGCGGCTGACCTATGGAAGGAGCCGAATCTTTCCTGCCAAAGCAGGCTGCAAAGGTCACCACCACTCATCACTCTGTGAGGGCTGTTCCCTGCTGGTCGAGAACTATACTACAGATATCGAATTCTTCAGTAAAGGCCCCCTCACCAGCAGTCCATCGCTTATGGTGCTCACACAATTCAAAACAGCACAACAGGCCTAGTTTTATTCCTGATGGTGCCTAGCCAGGGAACCAGAACTAAATGCCTCTAGATTACCTTGAAACCACTCAATTTATAAAAATAAGAGTGAAGGTAACAATCCACCTATCGCTGGATATTTACTAAGCTTAACACATAAAATACCATGATTTCACTTTAAGTTTCTGCATATACGTGGGTCTCTCCCTCCCATCTTCTTTCTGAGATGCATATAATTTGCAAATTTAGAGGTAACGCAAACACTACCCAAAGTCAAAAACGGCAAACTACCAAAATGTTCCGCGGGTCAAATCCAAATAACCCAAGCCTCAGCTCCATACGTGGGAAGTCCAGCCATTTCGAGGGCGGGCAGGGAACCCTTGCTCCCGGGATGAGGGTGGACAAACCCCGGTGGCGAGTGATCAGGCTGAGGTCACCAGGGCAGGCCCAACTTGGGCTAATATGGGGCGACCCCCATCGGAAGCTGGGGCTGGGGCTACAGCCCCTAGGGGATGAAGAAACGCGGCCAGAAGGCCCGCCCGGACCAGCGCACACCCCTCCCGTCCCCGCGGTCAAGCCAGCAGGGCCCACACCCCGGCCCGCCCGCCCCGGCTCACCCGCCCCGGCGGGCTGGGGCGCACCCCGGCCCAGCCCGGCCCGGCCAGCTGCTCAGTGGACGCCCGGGGCCGCTCCAAGCTCACTCGCGGCGGCGAGCAGCGGGCCCGGGGCCGCTCGGCACCATCCTCCCCGCCGCGCCGGGAGCAGCCTCCGGCTCCGCGGGGGCCGCGCGAGAACCAGAGGCCAGTCTGGCTCGCGCCGCCGCGACGCGGGCTAATCTGGATCCCGCAGCCGTGGTTTCCGGGTAGGAAAAAAACGCCACCGCCAGCGATGCTGTGACCTCCGACACCTGGCGTCCGACGGCGGCGCGGCCGGGACAAGATTCCTCACTTGCCGGCGGCGGAAACCTTGCCTGTTGATTGGGTCACGTGGAGTTGGGTGTCAGTACGTGAGCTGTGCGCATGCAGGGTGGGACGTGTGGCGTGTGCGTGTGCGTGCGTGCGTGCGTGCGTGTGTGTGTGTGGTATTGTGAGAGTGGGATTGGGTGAGTATGCGTGCGTGGGGCACAGATGTAGTTCTGTGTGTGGATCTGTGCAAGTGTTTGTGTGTGAGAGGCTAGGTGTGTGCATGCCTGTCTGTTTCTGTGCCGGTGTATTAATCACAGCAGATGAAAATATAATTTGGTACAATCCCTTTGTGAAATAATTTGGCATTATCCAGTAAACTTGAAGATAAATATGCTCTCTGGAGAATACATTACCCTGGAGAAACACTTGCACATCTGCACAGGTAGATCAAATGTTTATAGTGCCACTATTTGTAATCACTAAGGACTGGGAGGGGAAAAAAAACGCCCATATAGTCAAATGAAAAAAAATGGACTTTGGTATACTCATATGTAATCAAATAGAAAAGAGCAGTGAAAATTATTGAAAATCGCTGGCACATCAATGGGAATCAACCTCAGGACTATGTGCGGAGGACGCAAATCGCAAAATGATACTTGCAGCATAATCCCAAATATAAAATTCCAAAACATGCTAACATATTTTGTAGAGATGTGTAAAAAACTGAAAGAACTCTAAAAAAAAAGTATGAGAAAAAGATACACGAACTTCATGTTAAGTGTTAAGAGGATGGAATTGGGAAGAAGCCACAGGGTACTTCAAATGTCATGGAAATGTTCTTTATCTTAAAAAGGGCGATGGGTACACGGTTACTAAATTATTATTGTTTATATTTTATACATAACTTACAAATAATTTTTAATCTACTAAATAGTTAATAAAAATGAAAAATACACTGATTCACCGTTGAACTAGGAAGTTATTGAGTGTGCAGAGATGGCCTATTCATATGAAAAAGGCAGTAAAAGTTGCTAAGTACCTAAAATAGGTCAAATCTAAGAGATGTTGATATGAGTCATTCATGAGTCATGAAGGAGAATGATGGTAGACCCCAAAGATATATCTTTTGACAAAGATATCAATAGTTTTCAGCTGATTTTCAAAAGAAGCTGCTTAATTTCCAGTAGAAAGTAATTAAACTGAAAATAGAACTGTAATCAAAATCATACCCAAGATCTTAAAGTTGTTAAAAAAATTCAAATTATAAGTGGAGGCTTTGACAAGCAAGTAGTGAACAACTGCCAGTAGCCAATGGAAATTTAAATGCATAGTTACAGTTTGGTGAAGATGGATTAAGTTTAAACTTGAATTGTGATGATTAAGAGCAATGTGGTGAGTCATGTCAGGATAAATATATGATGTCATAAGTTAAAAATAAGTTTTGTCAATTCTGTGCTTCCAAGTCCAAACAGAAAAATAATTTTTTAACTCCAGTATTTTCATACACACTGTAATTTTTTCAGAAAATCTGTTATTGAATCAATGAATTTCTTACACTCTATGAAATATTAGCATCAATAAATAGTTGTTGGGCCTTCCAGTCAAGATGGTGGAGTAGTTAAATTACATGCTTGCCCCCTCCCATGACCACATCAAAATTACAACTAAATTACAGAACAATTATCACTGAGAATAGTCTGAAGTCTAGCTGAACCAAAGGCCTAAAACTAAGGATATGAGGAGCAGAGATGTGAAATGGGCAAGTCCCACCTCCATGATGTGGCAATTAAAAATCAATTGGGGGGTATATTTTGGCTGTGGAGGTCACTCTTGAGGAGCAAGAGGTCCCAGCCCCAACCAGGCTCCCCAACCCCAGGAGCACCAGTGTGAGGACTTATAAGAAATTTAACTTCATAATTTGTGGCCCAATATTTGAATTTTTACAGCTTGAGCTCTGAAGCTGCTTGCAGAGCCAGCAGTACCCCTGTGCTAATTGTACTGTTTGATAAATTGTACTCCTTGCATCATTGTATTATGATTGTGTGATCAAAGACAGCCTTTTTGCTTTATAGGCCTGTGCTGAAACTAGGACTTGATAAATGAGTAATTATGTATTACCCATTGTACTCACCTCATAACCCTACTTACTTGATCACTGAGTCAGCCAACCATTGAAAGTCCATTTGACCCACCGATCAGAAAACAAATGATGTAAATTTATGGTCTTGTTTCCCCTAGCAACCCATCTCTTTGATCAACAGCTCCTTGCAACTTTTGCCTTTAAAAACCCTGCCCAATCCCCTTCATTCTGCAACATATTCTTGGTTCATACTGAGGGCTACATTTCCCGGTTTGCAAATCATTGCCTGAATAAACTCGTCAAATTTCTTTTTTTAAAAGGTATCTCTGGACTTTTAAAAAAATAAGTGCTAGGAAGAGGAATCCCCATAATAACTGACTGTGAAAACCAGCCCAGGTAGCATCCGAGTGAGTCGGAGGGCTGCTCTGATTCCCAAGCATTCTTGAAGGGACCACGCATGTACTCGCTTACTCATAAACTCACTCACTCTGAGCTTTAGCTCAGGGGCAACAACTTGAAAATCACCAGAGATAAACAAGAAGGACCCAAATTGACTAACTTCAGGATGACGGCTGGAGGGGCAGGGGTCGAGGCAACTCTCTCCAGAGATGGAAGCATTGTCAGCTATCATTGCTCCTTTGTTCGGTGCTTCTCCCACCCGGCTGGAAGGCACAGGCAGGTGCCAAATCTGAGCTCTCCATTAACCTCGCCAATGCTACTAGCCCTGCCTTGGTGATTCCTTGAGACCCCTCCTCACCCAACCCACCCCCTCAGCCTGAGCCTACTCCAGCTACTCCTCCACCAAGCGGTCTTCCTCAGCTCATGCTGTGGATTTTCCCGAAATCTCTCAAAGGTCCACAAACCCCAAACAAGCAGTGGCCAGCCTTGTACTCTTGCTAAGCAGCCCTGAAGCCTAGCATAACTGCTGATCAGTATCAACTTGCACTGTAACTCCCATCAGGTGGCCTCAAGTCTGACATAAGTGGTGGCTAGTCTTGACCTGGAACGTAGCTTCAACTAAGCAGCCACAAGGCCAACACAAGTGGCAGTTGGCCTCAACTCAAATCATGGTGCCAACCAAAGGGTCCCAAGCCTGGTCCAAGTGGCAGCTGGCCTCAGTTGGAAGCACAGCCTCTCCCCAAAACCTCCAAGCCCAGCAAATGCAGCAACCAACAGCTTATCACTTTGTAGCTCCTACCAAACTTCCCAAGCCCAGCATAAGTGGTGCCTGACCTTAGCCTGCACCAACCAGAGCCCCTTCCAAGAGGCTCCAGACCCAACATATCCAGTGGCAGGCTTCAGACCACAAAAGAGCACCACCCAACTAGCTCCACAAAGGATATACCCAAAGGGAAAACTGGGCAAACACCAGAGCCCTGCTAAGGCAACCCCTGCTCTGTGGGGTCAGCCCCTGCACAACAGCCCATCCACTGTAGTCACAGCCAGCCCTCACAACCAGTAAACCTTAGGGTCAACACCACCCACTGATGTTCCAACAGTGATCAAGGCACAACTACAACAGGAGGCCACACACAGCCCACATAGGAAATACCCCAGGAACACCCAGCTCAGATGACTGGGGAGACTGCACTACTATGCCCCACAGGACACCTACAAAAGGCCACTCAGTCAAGATCAGGAGACATAGCAGATCTATCTAATACATAGAAACAAACACAGGGAGTCAGCCAAAATGGGGAGACAAAGAAATATGTCTCAAATGAAAGAACAAGACAAAACACCAGGAAAGAGCTACAAAATGGAGAAAAGCAATCTACATGGTGTAAAGTTCAAAACACTGGTTATAAGGATGCCAAAGAACTTAGGGGAAGAATAGATGAACTCAGTGAGAACTTCAACAAAGGGATAGGAAAAAAAGATACATGTGTGTGTGTGTGTGTGTGTGTGTGTGTGTGTGTGTGTGTGTATAAAGGAGATAGAAAACATACAAAAGAACCAGTCAGAAATAAAGACTACAATAACTGAAATAAAGAATACATTAGAGGGAATCAACATCAATTAGATGAAGCGACAATCAAAACAGCTATCTGGAAGACAAGGTGGCAGAAAACACCGAATCAGAACAGCAAAAAGAAAAATGAATTTATAAATGAGGAGAGTTTAAGGGACCTCTGAACAACATTAAACGTACCAACATTTGCACCATAGGGGCACCAGAAGAAGAGAGAAAGCAAGGAATTGAAAACCTATTTGAAGAAATAATTATTGAAAATTCCCCATCCTAGCAAAGGAAATAGACATACAAGTCCAGGAAGCACAGACAGTCCCAAACAAGATGAAACCAAAGAGGCCCAAACCAAGACACATCATAAGTAAAATGCCAAAGGTTAAAGAGAAAATCTTAAAAGCAGCAAGAGAAAAGCAGTTAGTTACCCACAAGGTGGCACCCATAAGACCATCAGCTGATTTTTCAACAGAAACTTTGCAGGCCAGAAGGAAAGATATATTCAAAGTGATGAAAAGCAAGGACATACAACCAAGATTACCTAGTAAGACTATCATTTAGAATTGAAGGGAGAGGTAAAGAATTTTCCAGACAAGAAAAGGCAAAAGATGTTCATCACCACTAAACCATTATTACAAGAAATGTTGGGCCAGTCGAGTGGCTCAGCTGGTTAAAAGTTAGATTCAGAGCATGAGCTCTGAGCAACAGGGCTGCCAGTTTGATTCCCACATGGGCCAGTGATGCTGTGCCTGAGCTGAGCTGCCGCTCAGCTGCCAACAGGTGGCAGGATGGCTCAGCTGGTGAGAGCATGTGCTCCTAACAACAAGGCTGCCTGTTTAATGGTGGGTTACGCCTGCCTGCAACTAAGACTGAACTTTGCACCTTGAGCTGAGCTGCCGCCTGGATGGCTCAGTGGATAGAGCATGCGCTCTTAACAACAAGGCTGCCAGTTCAACTCCCTCATGAGATGGTG